GAAAGAGAGAGGACAGGGAGGGACGCGACGCCTCTCGTAGGCCGTTCGTTAGCCAGCCGGCGCGTCACTCACCGGCGTACTCTCGTCTTGCGCAATCGAGCCTCAGGGGTGGAGCTCTCGCGAGAGTTCGGCGGTTCTCTGAAAGGAAGGAGGGGAAAAAAGAGCTGGGATCATAACGGCCTGCCTAGCTTTGGCCATCCGAGCAGGCGACCCCTTGCGAGTGCCCGGCCACGTGCTCGTCCCTCCTCTGAGGTTTGCCCAACGTCCATGCTATTTTTCTCCTAGTTTGTGCACTTTCCTGACGATGGGAGCGCCTTTGACCATGTCAGTGAAAAGCCGGGTCCTCTTTTCCATTATTTTTATCCCGCTACCCACTTTAGGTCAAGAAAGTACTGTAGTTTTTACTTTTGCCTCGAGCCGATATTATCCAAGTTCCCCCCCCAAAGTTATGTAGGATGCCTATAAGAGTACATGAACTGAGAAAAAGGCGACCTATTAGGAATAGAAGGGGGGCTTTCAGCGGCAGGAAGTCGCACTTTGGTTGCAGGTTTTTTCAGAACCGTTTGGTGGCTAGATTTCTCTTCATTTAATAAATTTCTTTGTGTGGGAAGGTTCCCTATCCATTTAGAAATAACTGATGAACTGCCAGCAGCTCTATTTTCAGACTACTGTGCTGAGAATGTCTGATTCTTGTTAGGTATGAAGTTAAGCCATTTAGCCTGCTCTCTTACAAAAAGCCACATCTTCCATCCAAATACAGGCAGAAGTGGAGTGGAAAACAAGAAAATACTTATCTAGCTGTTGAAAAAGCACTTTCTTTAATTTGACTGTATTGAACAAAGATTAGATGTGCAAATCATTTCATGGGAGCATACCTATCCAGGATTGGCAAGGTGTACATGTAATACATGCAAGTTCTGTCTGTTTACATCCAAAGTGTCATTCATTTTGACTGGTAACTTTTGTCTTTGACAGAGACCATGGCCCAGAGGGAATGGACCCCGATGGCGTCATTGAGGTTAGTATTTCAGTCGTACTGTACTTTACACTACTTGTAAATAAAATTTTGATGATTGAAGTAAAGTGTACTTTTCTTCCTGCAGAGCAATTGGAATGAAATTGTTGACAATTTTGATGATATGAATTTAAAAGAATCTCTTCTCAGAGGAATTTATGCTTATGGTTTTGAGAAGCCTTCAGCTATCCAGCAGCGTGCTATTATTCCATGTATCAAAGGTATGCACGTGTTTGATAGTAGCTGGTAAGACTGGCAAAGGTCTAGATTTTTCATGTTTTTAGCTTTGGGGTGGAAGTAAGATGCATCTTTTCCTTGAAAAGTGAAATGATGGTATACCATCTTTCGGGACTGACTTAAAATGGAGATGATATGTAATTGCTGATCACTTGGAAAGGAAATTGGTAGTTAAACTAAATTCCTGTTGTGTTGTGTGGAAGCAGTAAATATCTATCCTTTTTTTAGGGTATGATGTGATTGCTCAAGCACAGTCAGGTACTGGCAAGACAGCCACATTTGCTATTTCCATCCTGCAGCAGTTGGAGATTGATCTCAAGGAGACCCAAGCACTAGTTTTGGCCCCTACCAGAGAACTGGCTCAACAGGTATTGATAGCATGCTTGAAGCATTGCTTATTTGTTGTATAATTTTAAGGCTTCACTGTAGGGCAGGTAATGCTTTTGCCAAATCTGTAACAATTTCATTGTGTTTCTTGGTAGTATGGTGTGATAATAGGTCTTTGGCCCACTAGCTTTTCTTTATATACATAAACAGCTGTATAGGGGTGATGAAGGAGCTTATTCTAAATACCTACCAAGTGTATGAATTGAGCAGAAACAACTGCTTTTTGCCATGTTAAAAGACGTGAATGCATGTTGTGCAACATGAAAACTGAAATGCATGTGTAATGACTTTTCTGGATATGTACATTTTATGCTGCATTTGCTTGAAGCTATTGATGATGTGTTAGTTTTGCCAGTATGTTTGAAGTACTACATAGGCCTAGCAGATTCTGTTTTCCTGGGGAGTAGAATGTTGAATATTATGACAAAAGGAAAAATAGAATCTGTTGCTTTGGAGGACTGTTGTCATTTGTTGACTGTTGTATTCTTTAAGGACAGTGTAACAGGTTTCCTGGGTCATTTGTCCAAGCAGCTTTGAAAATTGTATGTCTCTGGATACATAGCTGAAATATTACAAGCAAGTAGAGTTTATAAGAAAGACTCTCTTTCTGGAACAGCTTCATCTAGCTATCAAGTCTTTCAAGTATAATTCCAAATGTTAGGTATGATCTGTAAGGCAGTATGGTTTGGGGTTTAAGCTATATGAAAGACTGTATTCTGCCATGCAATCTGTCCAGGCTTAGATCTGCAGGGTAGCCTGTCTGATAACTGTACCATTGTTGCAGTGCCCTTTGGTGGGAAGGTATGAGAGGACCTTATCTGTAGTGACTCCCAGACTTTGGAACTCTGGGAAGAGAGGCTGGATTTCCCATTTTTTTAGGCCTTTCATAACTTCAGATCTCTTGGATTCTACTTGTGTGTTAGGACTAGAGATGGGTGTATTCATATACAAATATTCCTCCACAACTGCAGATAACAAGAGTAGCAGAGCCTTCCTATCTCTGTTGCTCACGATGGATTAGCCAGTCCTGTAAGTAGGTGGGATGACATCTCTCTGCCAAGTTGCAAACAACTGAGAGATAGGAAGGCTCAGCGTAATCGGTGCAGTGGCGGAATCGTGAGTGGTTGGTCTGGCCCCAGGGGTGTGGGATCCTCGTTACCTGCGCCTGTGAAGTGATATTCATACCCCCATCTCTAGTTTGGACTAATATTTTAGACTAATAAATTAGTTTTTAAGTACTTTGCTACCATAGTGTGTTTTAATCCTGTTTACTTTGAGAGACATGCAGCATATTTATTAAATCAATATCCTATAGTTGATTTTTGGATTATGGTTCTGTATTTTTTTCTTTGAAAACAGCAACAGACTGGAAATGAGGTTAATATCTGGGTATTATCATTTTCAGTTCTTGTATGCCACTACAAAAATACACTGACTTTGAGGCACGGAAGTACTATATAGGTATCTGTTAGAATTTTACTAAGTTTAGCTGTCTGTCCGGAAAGATTAGTTGTTCAAATCTTGCTTTTAAATTATATACTCTGCTTATACTAAGTCAGTTTTACTGCTTTGGATAACTACCAACTATTTTATTGTGTGTTCAAGACGATCACTTCCAAGTCGGAAGTGTTTTACTTTCTTGCAAAACCAAGACTACCCCTCAAGCTGTAGAAGGAGAATAAGTATTTCTGCTGTATTGTGGAAGATTTCCATTATGTGAGGATGGAATTTACCAGTGCAAACATAATATATTTCTATGCAGTTGGTATTTAGGGGTAAGGAATGGTTTACAAACTGCATGTGGATAATTAAATATGAGTTTTGTGTCTTTTTCACTAAGTGTAGTGTGAATTTCAGTATAACTTGTTTGGCAGCTGCATTAATAAAGTTCTAATTAAGTTTTATTATTTCAGATCCAAAAGGTTATTTTGGCTCTTGGAGATTATATGGGTGCAACTTGCCATGCTTGTATTGGTGGCACAAATGTTCGTAATGAAATGCAGAAGTTGCAAGCAGAGGCCCCACACATTGTCGTGGGAACCCCAGGACGTGTCTTTGACATGCTGAACAGACGTTATTTGTGTAAGTAGTATAGTACTCATTTAAATTTTCTGAGGAACATCGTTTGTAGAAATTATGGACAGTTTTGAGAGTATGAGCTCTTAAAAACTGTTTTAAATATAAAGGTTTGAGTACTGATGTATTTTATTCAACAGATCAAGTGTCTTGTTCTTACTTTATAAAATAGCCATCTTTTTCTTCTCTTAAGCTCCTAAATGGATCAAAATGTTTGTCTTGGATGAAGCTGATGAAATGTTGAGCCGGGGATTTAAGGATCAAATCTATGAAATTTTCCAGAAGTTAAGCACAAATATACAGGTAAAGCTTTTCTCACTAAGATTAACTATTCCAGCCTGTGCAGGTAAAGTTACAGTGTAGCTGCGAAGTGCTGTATTGTCGTTCCCCCTGCACAAAGTAAAATTGTCTCTTCTATCCTTGTCTGTTTGGATTCCACAGCAGACAGGGACGCTTGGTTTCATACATTATCTTTTTGTTTGTCACTGTTTGGGAAGTTTCAGATTAGTCAAGTTTAATGAAACTTTCTCCTCCAGGTTGTGTTGCTCTCTGCCACCATGCCAATGGATGTGTTGGAAGTGACCAAAAAGTTTATGAGAGATCCCATTCGTATTCTAGTGAAGAAAGAGGAATTGACTCTTGAGGGTATCAAACAATTCTACATTAATGTGGAAAGAGAGGTAAGGAAGAGATTTTAGTGGCCTTGGAAGTACTTCTTGTACAAGCACTGTGCTAAAACTATGGAAGTTGAGGTTGTACCTTGGCTTCTGTAATAATGCTAGCATGGTACACACAAGAAGAATAGGAAATGCACTGGATCGGTAAAAGGCTTGGGTTGGACCTCTTTCTTAATGTCCAGTGTCCTAGTCTGGAGGCTTGGTGCAACACTATTTATGCCTGGCTGTGGTTTGCAGCTAAGTTGATAACTTGATCTTGGCAAGAATAAACATTTTTTGGATAGTTAGTTTGTACAGCAGTGTTGTGTGCTCATGATAACTTTCTTAACTTTACAGGAATGGAAGCTGGATACTCTGTGTGATTTGTATGAAACCTTGACCATTACACAGGCTGTTATTTTCCTTAATACAAGGAGGAAAGTAGACTGGCTGACAGAAAAAATGCATGCTAGGGACTTCACTGTCTCTGCTCTTGTAAGTGCTGATACTGAGAATTTTAAATTAGAGCTTGAACATATTGCTTAAATATTGATGAAGTAGTGAAAGTTAGTGATGCAGCAATATTTGAAAATACAGAAAAGGCCAAAACAAACTCCACCACTATGGCCCTCAGGTCGTTACATCACAATTCATATTAATGTTAAAACATCTAGCGATTAATTACTACTACTTATCCCAAAATGTGTTGCAGATAGGGATTCATAAATCTCATGATTAAAGAAACTCATTTAAGGCAGATCAGCCATATAATGGAAAAAGATTTTGCTTTGCTTAAACTGTATGTCTTTCATTGACCTATTATATATTTCACTCAGTGTACTTACAAGCCACAAGAAAACAGAAGCATTGAATTTTTCCCCTTAATGGTGAAACTCCCAACAGTCTTGATCTTACTGTTTGAAGAAGAGTAGAGTTAGTGGATCTGGAATAACAATAGAAGTAACTGAGGAACTTTTAAAAAATAGAATTGTATTCCTCCACCTCCCTTTTCTTCTGCCATTACTTAGAAAGATAAGAAAATAAATGAGATAATTTCTGACATTCCCTCCAGAACTCCACTTTGCTGCTTTTTATTTTAGTGCTGAGCATCTTCAGCCAAGGCCTACACACGCTACTGCTGTCGCTAAAGGAAGGGAAGCTAGCATGTCTTAGGCTTCAGTGAAGATACCTTTCAATATTTGTAGTCAAGCAGTTAACACACTTTTTGTAAATCTATCCAGCATGGTGACATGGACCAGAAAGAGCGAGATGTTATTATGAGAGAGTTTAGATCAGGATCAAGCCGTGTCTTGATTACTACTGATTTGTTGGTAAGTAATTCTTGGATATTGCCCTCTGTATGTATGTATCCAGAGCTGCATGGTGCAGGTTATTGTAACCTGAGCTACTGAAGCTGAAGCAAAGACCATGCTCCACTATGAACTTGCATAATTGTAGTTCATCACTATAACATGGCCAACAAACCTGAATATCTTTACTTTGGTGTATAGCATGTTTGCCTTGTTCATTGTATTGCTTTTACTTACAGGCTCGTGGCATTGATGTGCAACAAGTATCATTAGTAATAAATTACGACTTGCCGACCAATCGTGAAAACTATATTCACAGGTTAGTTGAATTTCTGAGTTTTTCATTTCAGTTTCAGAATACTGCATGTGTCTTGTTCTTCTTGCATTATTGTACTACATTGTGCTTGTGTGGGTGTGTGCAATATGAAGATGGGGAGGGGCAGAGCTTCTTGGTTAGCCAGTGAAACAAAACAGTGGGAAAACTTAGTATACTTGTATGCTCAATAGTGATCAGCCAGAAAAACAGTATAACAGCCGATGTGGAATTCTTGTCAGATCTGCAAGATTTTCAAGGACTATATATTTGTCAGATCTGTGTTTTGCCTTTTTCAGCTTGTTTAATGTTGCCTTCTGGATGTTCTTTTTTTAATGCCTTCACTGTTGCTCCTTGGTTCTTCTTACAGTGGGATTCTTTCTTTCTCTGGTGTCTACTAATAGAACTTTCAGTTTATCTTCCTAAGCTGTTAACTGTATTAGTGGCTTTGTCCCTAAATGAAGTAAATTGTACCTTGTTACTTGATGTAAAAAAATGCAGGACCCGCTAGTCCAATTGATGACGGGAAGGTGCTCAGAAACGACGGCGTAATTTAGGACGTGGATTCGTAAGCGGCACACTGTTTGAATAACAAGCGAGTTGGTATTTATATACTTTTTTTTGTAATTGTTGTGAGCTATATTTGTCTTAAAAGCTCTTAGTGGTTTGGCCAGGTGGAGGCAGAAGTCGTGGGTTTGTCAACCTGTTTATATTTTTCTGTGTGCCCTATAAGTGATTTTACAGAAATTGGTTGTTTGATCTGCCAAAATGGCGTTAAGTTTTCCCACTGAATGAGCTCATTTTTTTCAAAAATGAAACTGAATTTTGGCTTTAAGGGTTTTGATTCGGAGTAGTAGTCTTAATGGAAAAATCTTTTGCACATTGTAGGCTGACATCAAGCTCTGTCCATGTTTAGAAGCAGATGGTGTGAGATAATAACTTGGAACTAAAATTCCTCCAGAAAGTGGTTTTTATGGTTAAGAATGGGTGGTGGTAGATGGGTACATTTCCAGGTGAAGATCTTGTTGAGCAAAATGATAGTCTCTATGCTACCAAAAAGTAAGTCTTTTTTAATTAAGGCATTTTTTGTTATTTCAAAGCATCCAAATCAAACGATAAGTGTTTAGCATGATAGGGAAAAATCTGTTGTAATACAGGGGTTCACACAATTAAAATTAACCTTTCCATGAATACCACTAATGATTTTTTTTAGTCTCCTAGCAGGTTTTCCCCAAAATTACGCTCTTCACAAACTTTTCTGTTACATGCAGGATTGGCCGAGGTGGGCGTTTTGGCAGGAAAGGTGTGGCTATAAACTTTGTCACTGAGGAGGACAAGAGGATCCTTCGGGATATTGAGACTTTCTACAATACTACAGTGGAGGAAATGCCAATGAATGTGGCTGACCTCATTTAATCCCTGGGATGAGATGTTTTTGGAATGCGGTGCTCGCTGTTGCTGACTAGGCGATCCACAACGTGCATTGTGCTTCTTTCTTGGGGGATACATTGAATCTTGTTTCAATGCTCATTACGGATCAGAAATATAGATTTTTGATAAGCAAAACGACATTTTGTCGTGAGCTTTTGTGGGGAGAGCCTTTGGCTTTCTCCTCTTTAGGGTTTAGACTGTTGGGGTTGGGTGGAAAGTCATGGGGTCTGTAAATTTTTCCTTTATTAGAAATTTATTTCCTAGTTCTGTAGAAGTGGTAGTACTAGATGTTCTTTATCATTTAATAATTTACTTATGGACTAAAAGGTATAAGTGCTGTATAAAATCAGCAAATTATGTTAAACTGGCATACCTACCTTTATTGTGTTATAGTTCTATATTAGACTAAATTGGAAAGGCCTTCAAAATTACTAAACTTTTATAAGAGTGTTAAAATGCATTTTTGTTTGGTATGTATTTATTGAATAACGTATTTAATTAGTGTTAAGTGTGATCTGGACCCTGCTAAACCCCAGCAAGCAATCATTATTGTTGTCTTAGTTAGGGTTAAACCCATTAAAATTGCCATATTGCACATGTCTTAATGAAGTTTGAATGTTCAATAAAATACTTATATATTCACTTCACTGGGTGAACTGGCTGCTTCTTGGGAGATTGGTGACCATAGTTTTGAGTTGGACACATATTTGTCTTAAATAGATTCTAAGTCATTTCTTCCGATTAAGTACAGTAGTGTGGTACCTTATGTTCTGATCCACTATAACATAGCCATTGTCAACTTAACTACACTGGTAGCTTGCTTTTCCTTTGAGTACTATGTCCCTTCTCACAGATATAACCAATAGAGGCTTTATTTTTACACTACTATATCAGCTTTTTCAGTTTAAAATAACAGTAGCTCAAAAAGCCTCACAGTCCGAAGCTATACAGACTGAGTTATGGTCTGTTTTGTTTAGCAAATCATACAGAGTGACACTGATATTTGAGTAGTTGATACCTTTAGCTGTGGTGAAAAAACCAAAAAAGCCTGTACAGCAATGACTAGTTGCTTTTTCAAAGCAAATTAGTCTTATTTAACCTTGTTTAAGAAGAGAAAGCTTCATACTGTGTTCCCTCATGGCTTTTCTCAAGATGCAGGAAAGGTGTATGGTTAAAGTGAAGATAATTCAGTAACAGATTAATTCTTCAACATTGTATTTTTATTACAAAAGTAGTACACAAAGATCTGACTCAACAAAATTTATCAAATATATACTAGGCACATAATGGAAATCTTTAATCCTGCAGTTTAGTTATTCTGAACTAGTTGCTGCATGACCACTGCACAGAGGCTGATCATCTGTAAGAACTCATCAGAACCATCTGCCAAGCATTTATCTACCTCCTGCAAAAAAAAAAAGAAAAAATATAGATTCAACTTAGGCTACAATTTAAACAAGTCACCATCTTAAAATTCATTTCAAATGTTTGATCACAAACAACAATCCTTATCTGACATGGAAGAAAATGGTCTCTCTTAAAATTGAAATTGGCTTTAAACTACATAATAGCAGTTGATCAGGTGGTTATGTCTCCATGTTTATTACCTATGTGAAATACCGTATTTTTCGCACCATAAGACACACTTTTTCCCCACAAAACGGGTGGAAAGTCTGTGCGTCTTATGGAGTGAAGAAAACATATTTTCCTGTTTTCTTCTAAAAAATTGGTACGTCTCACGGAGCGAAAAATACGGTAGGTATCCAGAATGGTGAGAATTGGCAGCTGTGTGTGTGTGTTGTTTTTTTTTTACTGGGTAGAGAAACCCATGCCTGAGAACGTTAATAGCACTAGCACAACCTCTTGTCTTCTGCAATAAATCAGAAGTAGCTTGAGGACACAACAAATGTCTTAACTGTGTCTTTCCTCTGGTTAATAAGACAAAATAGCTATACTAAATATTAGGATTTAAAAATCGACCAGGCTGTTTTTGTTGCATGTCTCTTCAAGCACCTCCCAAGTACTAATCCTTTACCATAGATGGATACCTGTTCAGAAAAATATTCTTTATGATGTATCTGTTTAAAACAATAATTAATGCGATATACTACCTAATGCCCCCCAAGATAAACATCCAACAAGCAAAGTGAATGTAATAAAATACTTACAGCAAGTTTCTCTGCAATAATGGATTTCTGCTTGTCACTGAGGTCTTCCCTGTTAACAATGATGTCATGAAGTTGGCTTATAAGTTGTGTAGCTGCATAACCTTCATTGATCAGGGTCTAGATATAGGGAAAATAACACTCTTCAGGCTACAGACACCTTTTATGCAGGAGTATTAATTACCAAGTATGCCATTTAACTCATAGTTATACACTATTGTGTCAATAGGCTTCTTGATACAAGGAGTAATTGCATTAAAAAGCTCAAAAGAATCCTGCACAATCCAATTCTGGAAAGGTCGCTTAAATGGGATTTGTGTAACAGGATTATTTGATGGCTCATACAAAAAAGCTGCTACCATTTGCTTACACTAATGTACCATAATTTGAAGAGTCATTTAACACAAATCAGATAAATTTATTTGCTGCTTTGTATGAATTCACTGCTGGCAAAGAACCAGGGTGTTGTGATGCATCTAGTTCATGTTTTTGTTCTAAAAATTTAACCTGTATACAGCGGTGCCTCGCTTAGTGATGTTAATATGTTTTTGTTCTAAAAATTTAACCGGTATACAGCGGTACCTCGCTTAGTGATGTTAATTTGTTACGCTAAGCGAAACGCTAAGCGAAACGCGGTTTCCCACTGAAATGCATTGAAAACCGGATAATCCGTTCCAATAGGAACGAATTGTCGTCCTTAATCGAAAATCGCCATAGGAAACATCACTAAGCGAAACGCGGTTCCCCAATTAAATTCCATTGAAACCTATTCAATGAATCTCAATGGGGGGAAAATACAACAACAAATTAAAGAGTCAGAACAAAGTCAAATTTGGTTAACAAAGGGTTTAAGTGCACTTTATGATTTCAAACATTTTAAACAGTAAACTTTAACTTTATAAATAAAAACATTTAAAAAACAAACATGAGGCTGTTTAAACCATCGTTAAGCGAAACAGGGGACCCAAAAATTAATTGCTATGCGAAGCATGGTTCCAGCCATCGCTAAGTGGAAATCACCCATAGGGACCATTGCTAAACGAAGTGCAAAAACACTCCGAAAGTCATCACTAAGCAATTTCGTCGCTAAACGGAGCGCCCGTTAAGCGAGGCACCACTGTACTTAAGTTTTCCAAGGGGGAGAAACACTTCGTCTAAAATGGAGTAGACGGTGGAAACAGCAGGATGTATGTACGACATGAGATCTGATTAATTTCATGAGAATATAAATTGATCATTACTACTCTTGGAAGAATAAACTGCCATGCCCTATTCAGCAGCAGATTTCGAAAATACAATTTTTTCATTCTTTGCAGAGGTATTTCCACTGGGAACTATATTTCCTGGAAAAAGTCTTGAACGGTCAGAACTGGCAACAATGGACCAGAGCTTTCAGCTAGGCCACTCAAGAAGTGCTTTTGGATTTAGGAAGCACAGCAGTCTTGGCTTACTCCTGCTACAGAGCTGTCTGTAGGCATGAGAGGAAAGAATGAGTGGAAGGATGGAGTATTCACACCTAGTAGATCAGGGCTCCCCAACCCCTGGTGCTGGTCTATGGCCTTGGCTGGACCGGGAAGACATCTTCTGCCTGCCCACACAGCCCCTTTGCGCATAAGACATCTGCCTGCCCACACAGCCCCTTTGCGCATGCACACTAGTGCACATGCGCACACTGTGCAAGCACCCCCACCCCTTTGCATGCATGCGAGTGCACATGCGCCATGCCAGCGCCCCATCCCTTTACATGTGTGCGCACATGATCGCCTCTGCCCCTTCACACATGCGTGCAAGTGCCTGCAAGCGTGCACACAAAGCCCCTTCGTGCATGCGAGTGCAGCCCATGCACACAAGCACAGGCCTTGCCCATTCCCCCCCCAACTGGTCCACTGTATCAAAAAGGTTGGGGACCACTGTAGTAGATAACTAGATTCTTGAGCACAACATGGAAACAGAAGGGACCCTCTTGGGAAAACCTGAAACAGGCTAAAATATATTTAAGAGAAGTACGAATAAAGTCAGATATAATTTTGGCAACTGGAGTATGCTTTTAGGTTCTGGACCCAGACCTATGCCACTTAAAAGGCATACCAGGCAGATAGCAGTGGAAGACTTGGTAGAAGAAAACGTGAAATAGATTATCAATAATTGCCATACTCTTCCTGTATCTACCAAGTATGTTGAAATTTACTCTGCATTTAACCTGGGAATAGGATGGGGAACATTGCAAACTAGCTAGCCCTCTACACTCAGTACCAGTTGTGGTCCGTGCCTTCCCATTGTTAGAAACACCACCACCAAAATGAATGCAGTTCTGCTAGAAGAGGTATACAAAAAGCATAGGCACTGTTTCCAGCTAGAATTTGTGCATTAATTGTGGAAGTGTTAGCAGAAATTGCCATGGTATCACAGAAATAGCCAGGACAAGTCATGCTTTCCACCCCTGTTATAAGAAAGCAAAAAACATTGGAACAAACCAGTTGCACAAATCCTTACTGTACAAACTTGACTGAGCAACTTTAGGGACTTCTGCAAGCTTGGAGTGCTACTTCTCTCCTTAGGCGTGCTTCCCCCTCTCTTAAGGTCACAGGCGTGATAAATGTCAGGGAGTTCATATTACACTTATACCATGACTGACTTAAAGGCAAGCAGTTTTCAGTTTCAATGTACTTACACAACCACTGTCATCTCTCACAGCATATATAACCTGCCAACCCAGAAAGAATAGCAGAGCAGAAGGGAAAAAAACACAGAACCTTTTACATTTAAATAAGCTAGTTACCTTTGTTGCAACTTCGAGTTTTTCAAATGAACCACTCTGACACGCAGCCAACAGTCCATCCAATGTTTCTCTAGGGATAACCTAAAATAAAAAATTGTGCGGATTAAAAGATTAATACACACACTTCTGCGATGCACCCACTCTTCTAAACATTAATGCCAAGATCTTTTGAGAAGCACATATGTGCAATAAAAAAAAGCATATCACTAGAATATTATTTGTCCACTTATTGTACCTAATAAGCATTGTAGTCAGCATTCTCAGGGTCCCATCTGATTTTTCAATGTAAAAAACAGTGTAGCAAGTTCACCACCTTTCCATTGACATAACATTGTGTGGGAAAGGATTGTACAGCACCAGACAAAATCCTTCAGTCCACTAGGACTTCTATTAGAAAAAAAGAGTGTGAATCAGGTTGGCCAAGACTGCTACGGATCCCCATACACTACTTCCTCTGATAGCAAATTCTACATACAGTGAATCTGCTACCACAAGTAGTAGTACTAGCAGACAACCGGGACATGGAGAATTTGATAGCTATTACTTATCATACTACTATTAGCATCAAAGGCAATATAGCTCTTTGTCCTAATTGGTTGAGAGCATGAGCAAAACGGTGCTGCTGCGGTTGCATTTTACTTACAGATTTCTCATAAGCAACTGGTTCACTGCTACATAAAAAGATTTTTGTATTGCCATAACCTTTACTTTGGTCCAGCAAGTTACTCATGCACCTGCCAAATTTTCATTCACTTTCCAGAATAGTACAAGTTAAGGGCTGAAAACCATCAGTTCCTTCTTCCTGCCTCCAAAACGATACTCGCTCCATGTCTTCTGGACCATAACAAGCACAATTCATTCTTGTTTATGTTGTTTTCTTTTAATATATGTTTTTCTGACTATCTGAGGATTCTTCCATCACAGATGTGCATAACATGAAACAAATGGAAACCTGGTTGATCTTGACCTGGCAATAGGTTTCGTTTCCAAAAAAGTAGTACTAGAAAATGAACCCTTCAGCAGGAGTGCCTTATTTTATTTCGTGTATACTGTCCTCTACATGCTGTGAGAAAACTTTGCTATTTTACACCCTTCCCTTTTCAATAGCAAGTACGCTAGGTGCCTTAAAAAAAACCTGAACGCACCCCTGCAATTTCAGTGATAATTCTCTCAGTGACTTCTTTTCCACCTGTTAGTCGTGTGGCACTCTGAAGAAGTGTGATTGCTTTTCTCAAGTCTCCTTCTGATACATGAACAAGGTGAGAGACTGCCTGTATGACATACAGTGAAGAAATACGTGAAAGAAAAAGAAACCAAAATAAATAATTGGCAGGTGAATGCTGGAGATCCTTTTCTGAAACACTCATTTTTCTGTTTTACAAACTCAACATCTTACCTAGCAGATCAGGAAGGCTAACATGAGGAGAAATGGGGACAATGGGGCATTGGCATGCATTTATTTACAATCCTTTATATCACCTTTAGAAAAATATACTAAAGAATAAAACATTAAAAATATCCTGCATATTAAAATGTCAAAAACAGTAGAAACCACTTTTAGAACAAGATACAGTACATTCCAAATTTTCTTTCCCAATTACAGATGTACTGAATATGTTAGTGTCAAGGTTATATGTTTTGTATGAATAAAATATTAACAGAACTGAGGATATAAAAATGTAATCCTGCAAATGTGAGTTGTAACCAGAAAGTGAAGTTTCGAACAACATGCTGAAAGTCTAATAGAGGTTACTACAGGGAATGCAGCCAGCTCTATTTGTTAAAAACCCATGCAATTTCATCAGTTTAGCAAATGACAATATAAAAGCCCATTGACCAGTGGAACACATTATAAATCAGTAGAGTCTTATAACTTTGGCAGCAGTAATTGGGAAATGCATATTATCTTCTAACTGAGCACGGCTAGTAGCAAAATACAGTATTTCCGCTTGGTTGGCAGGGTAGTCTATTTACAGAAATAGCTTATCAGTATTTGCTACACACAGGTGAACTCTATTAGGTTTTTCACATTAGCCCCTACAAAGGCACTGTCAACCAAGTGCAGAAACGCAAACACTGATAATAAGTACCAAAATAATCGGGCAGTTTAAATATATACATAAAATGCAGTTCACAGTAGAATTGCACCAAATAGCAAGAAGGCATGCGCAAGCAGGAAGCAAGACACAGCAACAAGAAGCATCAGACATACAGCATAAGCAGGCACAGAAGGAGAGCAGACATGGATTTTCCTACAATAAATGGGTAAGCATGTTGTATGTCCATGCAATATGCTAAAAAGCTAAATAATATATTTTTACCTTCATATATTTTTACTTTTAATATTTTAAGAGATGAACACTGATTATATCTTTTTAATTAAACTCTGATTATATCTATATAATTAAAACATTTGCTTGGTGTTTTTGATTCTTAAAATATTTTTACTGTACTTTTATGCTCCTCCACATATAGAAGTATCACTTAAATATACAGTGGTGCCTCGCATAAGCATCGTTGAACGGGGAAGGGATTTCCACTGGAACGCATTAAACATGGTTTAATGCGTTCCAAATGGGCCAAATACTCACCGTTCAGCGAAGCTTCTTAATGGCCAGCAGCCATTTTCGCGCCCTCGCTTCACTTAACGAGGGCGCGAAAACGCTGCGCGCGGCCATTTTGGGCCATTTCCGGGCTTCCGGCAGCCATTTTGGCCGCCGAACAGCTGATCGTCGGGCTTCGTTTTGCGAAGATCGGTAAGCGAAACGCTTACCAGTCTTCGCAAAGCAAATTTAGCCCTATTTAAAAAATGTTAAGCGATCGCGTTAGCGATCTGAAAAAACGGATCGCTATGCGATTTCGTCGTTATGCGGTGCGCTCGTTAAGCGAGGCACCACTGTACTGTCTGCAATGTAAGTTTTGCCTTTATGTATTTCAGAGTACTTCTGTCTGCAACTTTTCATAATTATAAGAATTTTGCATAGCTTTCACATGATTTAAACAATTGCACCTGCAGCTTTCTTTAGTTGCAAATATATATTCGTGTTGTAACATACACACCAAGTTGGATAACTAGGTTTTATGTAAAATAATGTGCTGTCAAGTCAATTCTGACTTACAAAGTAATAGTTCCAATAACTACTACCTTGTTTTCCCAAAAATAAGACCTAACCTGAAAATAAGCCCTAGTATGATTTTTCAGGATGCTAGTAATACTAGCCCTACCCCAAAAATAAGCCCCAGTGAAGTAAAACCCCACCCTCCACCATTGCGCAGAAACCAGAAGATGACATGACTGTATTTGAATAAATGTAGATTGTTGTCCATGAAAAAAATAAAACATCCCCTGAGAATAAGCCCTAATGCGTTTTTTGGAGCAAAAATTAATGTAAGACTGTCTTATTTTCGTAGAAACATGGTATACGAAGATAGAAGAAATTAGATGAATAAAGCCCCCAAAAATAAGCCCCAGTGAAGTAAAACCCCACCCTCCACCATTGCGCAGAAACCAGAAGATGACATGACTGTATTTGAATAAATGTAGATTGTTGTCCATGAAAAAAATAAAACATCCCCTGAAAATAAGCCCTAATGCATTTTTTGGAGCAAAAATTAATGTCTTATTTTCGTAGAAACATGGTATATGAAGATAGAAGAAATTAGATGAATAAAGCCTGTAAAAACAGGCAAGCTGATGTTGCCTCTTTCTACCTCGTCAAAAGTAGAATGAATAAGATGTGAATTAAGAAAGACTTAATTCACCATGAGGGAAACAATGACTCTCATGCTCTGAAGGGAGATGCTCTATTTAACCAGATTAGATTTCATGCTTGATCTCAAAACTGGAAGTGTAGTCATTCCTTCAGCTATGCTAAAGAAATATAATTTCCAGATAAGTATTGCAGAGGTTGTCCTCTGCTTGTTAACTATGTAAATGTTTTCTTTGGCAGGGACAAGAGGCTACATGTAGCCAAACAGGAATGCAGAACAGGCAGTTGTTTTGCTTCTGTCACATGGATCTTTCTTCCAGGAACAATCTCTGTGCCACTGGCAGCAAGGTGCCAAGTTATTTACAATCTGGAAAAGTTGCCTTCTGCCCTCCCAATATATTGACCCATATTGCCAGGAACATTCTGGGAGTTCTGCACAGGGGAAAGGAACTTTGGCAATACTCTTGGATGGTAGTAGTGGGAGAGCATATGGTCCTACATACAGCTCAATGACAGACATACTGCTCTCTAACATGTTATATTCTTTACTTCTTACTCAGCTTCCGATAAAGTACTCTAAAAGCAAAGCCATCACTGATCAAGCAGAGAAATCCTCTTACACTATTTAGACATTAACATTTTGCTTAATTTACTAGCGCTATGCAGAGAAATGGTTATGCTATGCATGTGTTTCATTCATAGCATCATGACCCTAAAAAAAAACCCTATTAAGCAACACACAGATCAGTCTGTTCACTTCGTGATAACAACGCATATCTGAATTAATGGAGAAGCTACCTCATTGCTGAATGTCACATTCTCCTTTTCAGCAATGTCTAGAAGTCTCTGTCGTTGGATTTTGTCTGAAAGAGGCTTGAAACGAAATTTAGAGCATCGAGATGTTATAGGTTCAATTATCCTGTCAAACAGAGAAACAAGGACATAATAAGAAAACAAATCCATCCCCTTCACTTTCTACCTAACAATACACTTTCTATTCCAAATGGCTGCAGCAGACAAATTTAATTCCACATACAGTGGTGCCTCGACACAAATTTTTAATTAGTTCCGGAACTCCAGTCGTAACTCAAAATGGTCGTAAGTCGAAGCACCATTTCCCATAGGAATGCATTGAAATGCAATTAATCTGTTCCAGCCGAAGGGAAAAAAAATCCAAAAACCACAAAAAACAAAACTGCAAGACCCATCTGAAATGCAATTAATCCGGCCGGGGGGGGGGAGAAAAGCAAAGAAGCCCTTTTTGCAAGACCCTTCGGAAATGCAAAAAAAAAAAAAAAAAAAAAGGAAACAAACTGTGCAAGACCCATTGGAAATGGGGGGGGCAAAAAGCAAGCCCCATCGGAAATGGGGGAAAAAAACAAAAAGCAAACAAACCCCACAAGACCCATTGGAAATGGGGGGGGGACTCAAAAAAACAAACCCTGCAAGACCCATCATAGCATAGAAACATAATCCCAACACCCAGCCCAAACCCACCCTGCATACCCACCCATAAGAGTTTTTAAAAAGCAGAAAGCAACACCTCACCTTACCAGGCAGTCCGAAGCTGCCTCCATAGCACTCACTCTAACTGCTGGGGCAAAGAAGCAGCCTCTTTGCCTACCAACGGTTACCAATTTGAATTCCCTGCCTTTTTCTGTTCATAACTGGAAGCTCCGGCCACAAGTCAAAGGAAAGTTTTGCAGCCGGAGCTGGTCGTAACTCAAAATGGTCGTATGTTGGGATGTTCGTTAAGTTGAGGCGCTACTGTACATCAGTTGAGTTTTACATTTCTCATTTACCACAGGTGGAATTAATTTTAAAACTGTAGGCCTAATCTCTGGCTTCAGGGGAAGAATCTTATAAAGAATGGAATTCTGTATCTTAAAAAAAATTTAAAACACGGCGGAACATATACATACCTGCTGATGTAGTTACATATAAGACAAAAGCGTGTAGTTTTGGCCTCTCTTTCCATGGTACGCCTTAAAGCTGCTTGGGCTGCTGAAGTCATAGAATCGGCTTCATCCAAGATTATAATCTTAAAAGGTGGGCATGGCTTGCCACTAAACAAACACCATCAAAAAAACACAAATTAATAACTTACGGTACCAGAACACATTGTGTTTTCAACATGCATATTTTAGCCAAACCAACAAATTAAAATATAAGCATTCTTTACCTACTTCTATCTGTTTTGGAGATATAAAGATACTTTTAAGATTTCAGAACTATTCGAAAGAACAAGCAACTCACAACACTGTGGCACATGGTTTAAATTTACTTGTGTCTCAAATATCATTTTTTCCTAAGCACAAATTTAATGTATCCTGCTTTCATCTCATGAAACTTTGTTCAACGAGAAGACCCAACAGCAAACCCCAGATTGTAATGTTGATGTTCGTGTGCCAGTGTTCCAGGTAAAGTAGAATAAGTACATTTAGCATTACAGAAGTATAAAGTGATACAGCACTGCAAAATTATACAGGACACCTTTTCACTATGTTAATACATGTCTTGCCCAGAAATTAATGCAAGGTGAGCACAGCCAGTAAATGATACGTTCTCTTTGGAATGTAGTTATGCTCCAGTGACTCACTGTGGCATGCTTTTGGAGCCTGAATGCCACTGTGCAGTGCTGAGTCATGGTTTATTTTAGCATTACAAAGCTAACCCGTATAAAATTGAACCAGACAGAAATACAATCCTATAGTGTTGCTTTAATCATTGTGCTTACTCTGAGCGACTTCCCGACACTGTCAGCTGAGCAAATCTCTTCACTTTCTCTCGAATAACTTGTATTCCACGTTCATCAGATGCATTCAGCTCAAGGACTCGTTGCCGGAACAGCTCAAGCCTATTCACCAAACAGAAATTTCATAATCTTTTAGCCAAGGCATTATACACAACTATTAATAATATAATGTTACTCTAGACAATCAGAGATATACAAGCATGTAGAAGATGTTGGAAGTGCAGTAGTCTCATTGTCAAGAAATAGCCTTACACAAAGTCAGACCAGTGATGCATATTGCTCAGCACTGTTTACGCTGACTGGCAGCAAAGTGTCTCGCCCACTTACCCCCCTTAAAAAAAGAAAGAAAGAAAGAAAGGGCATCCAGGCTCAGAGACAAATCCAGCTGCACACCCAAGCTGTACACCTGTGTTTTCAGAGGGAGCGTAACTCTATTAAGTAAAGACTGAATTCCGATTCCTTGTCACCTCAGTCTTGTCTGGGTTAAGTTTGTTTATTCATCCTCATCCAGTCCATTACCGATACCAGACAATGATCTAGAGCTAAAATAGCCCCCTTGGATTTAGATGGAACGACAGAGTTGGGTATCATCTACATACTGGTGGCAATGAACTCCAAAACTCCAGCCAACCTCTCCCAGTTACAGGTTAAAAAGGCACCACCCTATGAGCCACAGGATTCCAGACTTACCCATAGAGTTCTCTTGCCGCTGCCAAAATAGTTGATGTTTTTCCAGTTCCAGGTGGGCCATAGAATAAGAGATTGGGAAGCTACAACGACAGTAGGTTAACATACTCCATCAAACAGCATTTTGTAAGCAAATTTGCCTGTCCTTCCCAAACATCCACAACAGCATGTCCATAAATACATAACTACAAGTACTGTAATACAATACAAACAGAATTAAAGACATATCTTGTCCTTAAGTCCTTTGTTGTGTCCATTCTTCAGGCACTTTCTCACACATAAATGTGGAAATATTCATAATTTTCATGTGTTTTTGTCATGATTTGTGTACTTTCACACAACTGTAACCTTTCTGTAATTAGAACAGGCTCATAACAGGTATCATGGTGTCCTCTCTGGCAAGTGTCATAAATAGCACAGCTTGGTTATGTTACAGGTCTGCTAAAAATAGAACTACTAAGTCTCTAGCTCTTTTACAAACTTACCTGTGACAAGTTTCACAGATCTCAGGGGGACGTGCACAGGACTGGGTTTAAAGTGCAAAGCATGAATTATCTAACTTCTGAAGAGAAGAAACACCATTTATTTTCTTATTAATATAACTATCTTACAGATGATTTTTTAATTGTTTAAAGAACATGTAATAAGCCTTCTCTCTTTTAAGGGAAGAATTAAGCAAGACAGCAGTGTCTTTAATCTTTCATTTCTATTCCAGTATGATTTTAAAAGAATTATGCCTCTTGGAAAGGTAACACTTATGTTGCATATATACCTGCCTAAATATAAGATACCTAATTCTTCTAAACAAAAACTGCAATTATCCCAAGGGACTAGATTAACACATTTAAAAATAATACATTCTCAGTGTTGTAATACACTAATTAAAAAATTCTAGGTTTGATTAAGCTTCTAAAAAGCTAAACCAAATCAGATACGAGACTGCTCATTTTAGAACAAAGAGCAGTGTACTTTTCACATGAGCATGACACTGCCAGGAACATGCTCAGACAGTAGGCCTCCATGCTCCTTACTATAAACATCATTTGATGTCCTAATCATGTTGCTGTATGTTGACATTATTTCATAAGCTGCTCTGAGAACACTGGCTAAATTACTAAAAAAAATTCAAATAAATAAATGATCCACAATCCAAATTTTGTAGCACTGGAAGATAAATATAGTACACATTGCACATGCTATAGTTCAAGAACTGCAGCACTCACATCAGCTCCTTGTAAGCACTTCTTCAGCATGGCAACCACCTCCTCTTGGAATGCAACTTCGTCCATACATTTTGGGCGACTACGTAAAGGAAAAGGAAAATCTGTGCACTTACTGATTTTCTGATCAAAACTCAATTCCTTTAGATGGAACTGGAGGGAACACTGGGTCTCCAGAGGTTTCTGATTATAGCTTCCACCATCCCTTGCAAATGCTGATGCTGGCTGGGGCTGACAGGAGTCATAGACCAAGGCAATTAGAGAATTAGAAGTTCCTTATCCTTGCTTTAGATCAATTAGCAAAGCTCTTTCATTGGCCAAAATCGTGTTGCACAGTTCCCAATGCACAACAGGAATGATGAAATTGGCCAAAATCATGTTTGCCTGAACAATGCCTAACTTTACACTTGCGTAAATGTGCCAGGCATTCTTCCCAGGCCATGATGATTGCCAATTGGTCACACAGTTCCCATTTCAAGGGATTGCACAAAGTCCATGCAGAAAAGCTTCATGAATAACACTTCCATCTGGCTGCAATGACTATCACTTGTATAGCATGGAGTTACTGAATAGGATTGCAACCATTTTGAGCTTTCCAATTAATTAAAAATCCCTTGTTTTTGTTTTGAGGTGCACACAGCTCACATTCAATGAGATGAAGTCGCATGCACCCTACAATTGAAATTTGGGATCTTTAATCAACAGCAGTTTGGTGCTAACGATTATATCATTCCTATTACACAGGTGGAACCTGCCCAACAGTATTTTAGTCATTTTTACTTTTCACTTTTACTAAAGTTAGAATTCTGAAGGTACAAAGCACAGGGTACACACAGATAATTTGGGGAAAGAGAACATCTTCAGTGGCTCCTCCATTTCGAGGCTTATCTACCCAAGTTAACTAGTCATATGACTGGCCTACTGGTGCCAGCAATGTAATAGCACAAGAGCTTGCAATACACGGTCACAGCTTTTTTTTTTAATTGAACAACCTACAATCTTCTGCAGCTCTCCTCTGACACATCACATAAGCATCAATGTTAACTTGCATAAAGATAGTAATTGTATAGCGTCCTAAAAGCATCACAGTTAACCACATCATGTCAAAGCAACAGCCAATCAAATGGCTTAGAATGCAAGAGACATTTAACTTCCAGAGGGGGCTTACTCTGTAAACTGAGAGATATGTCTTGGTTTTGGAATGGGGCAGTTGGGGCTGTGCTGTGGTTGACTTAAAGAGGATTAAAAGGCAGGGCTAATTTCTGATTCCCCTCGGATACAGTGGTGCTTCGCTTAACGACCATAATCCATTCCAGGAAAATCGCCGTTAAGCGAAAACATCATAAAGCGGGGAAAAAACCACTGAAACACATTGAAACCCCTTCAATGTGTTCCAATGGGATCAAAACTCACAATCCAGCGAAGATCCTCCATAGGGCAGCCATTTTTGCTGCCTGTCTTGCGAGGAATCCGTCCCAGAAAACAGCGGGGAGCCATTTTGTTTACCCGGTGGCCATTTTGAAACCGCTGATTAGCTGTTCTAAAATCATCGTTTTGCAAAGAATCGGTTCCCGAAGCAGGGAACTGATCATTGCAAAGCGAAAAAAACCTATTCAGACCATTGCTTTGTGATCGCAAAAAGCAATTGCAATCGCAAAAAAGATCATCGTAATGCGGTTTTGTCATAATGCAGGGCAATCGTAAAGCGAGGCACTACTGTATCAGAAGGGGGGAAGAGGTGCCTTGAGAAATGAAAGTAAAAGCCAATCCATAGCTATAAAAGAGTGGTTCTGAGTGAACAGTTCAATGGTTTAAAAACCTGCAGCATTGTCAGTGGTGCCTGAATAATTTTTGTAGCAGTTGTGAGGTGAGTACTGTGCTTTTAAATGGAGTAACTACTGTGCTATATCCGTCATCAAATTATTTGGAAAATTAAATGCCTGTTTTAATTCCAGTACTTGCCTCTGATTACATTTCTATCCAAGATAGGGGATATTCGATTTTAAAGGCTCCTTTAAATATAATGTTATTGGGACTAGCTGGTTTACCAAATTAGTATCATTGCAGGCATTCATCACATAAAACACAGACAATGGGTTAACTGAAAATCACTCCTGGCCTTTATCAGATTGCCAGTCTCCCATTTTCAATGGGGAAGTGAAACAGAAAACCAAAAAAAGGAGAAGCATAAAGCGGAGACTTCTAATGCTGACAATCAGGATAATTATTTAAAATACATACTACAACAGTGCCTCGCTTAGCGAGCGCTCCGTTTAGCGATGAAAGCGCTTTGTGATGAACTTTTGCGATCGCAAAAGCGATCGCTTTGCGATGTTCCCTATGGGGGAATTACGCTTTGTGATGATCGGTTCCCTGCTTCGGGAACCGATCATCGCAAAGCGACCATTTTTGAACAGCTAATCAGCGGTTTCAAAATGGCCACTGGGTAAACAAAATGGCTCCCCGCTGTTTTCTGGGACAGATTCCATGCTGCACAGGCACCTAACCTCCTGGCTCTTGCAACCATCCTCCTGTCTCTTGCACTCATCCTAGTCAGTTATAAAAAAAAAAAAGCAAGTCGCAATCCAATGCTTACTATTTTTCCACCCAAGGCACAGGCCTGACCCTCTTCTTTTCTCCACTGCCTCCTGCAGTGGCAGTTGTTCCCCTTTCCTTGGTAGAAGACAAGGGTTTCGTGCTGATTGAAGATGGGCCCTTCAGATATGCCTGCATTCTTGACCTTTCTCACCCGTCTGCACAAGGTTAACATGAAAAAGAGGGTCAAAGATACATTGTCACTGCTCAATTTTTAAAGAATTAAATTTTCATTTGCCCATGCCACTCTTTTTTCAGTGCCTCAGTGTTGGCTACAAACTTTGGTTGGTGTTTACCAACTACTTCAGTTTTTTTTGTTGTTGTTGTTTATAACACAGTTTTAAACATTCTCTGCTAATCAAAGTTTTCCAGACAAGCCATTAGAAATACAACCATAATGTTAACAACATAATAGCTAAAGACAGGACAAAATCAAAATAAGGTAATACTAGGAAGTACATGGTGATGTTTTTATCCTATATTGAGACACAGAGCAGTGTAATGGCTACCGTGTCGCATGAAGACTCAGAAGACCTGCGTTCAACTCCCCACTCGGTCATGGAAACTCACTGTGAAACTGATTAGTAATGTCAAACCATTTACAAGTAGCAGATTGCAAATCCTCCAAGTAGTTTTTTCTTTGAAATGCAAATATTGAAATCCACAACAATCATTTTATCCATTCAGTCTTCCCTACCAATAGCAGCCTTTTTATCAAAAAAAACTATCATTATCCCATTTTTAAACTGTGTGCAAACGAAAACTTTAGTAAGAACATAAGAAGAGCCCTGCTGGATCAGGCCAAGGGCCCCTCCAGTCCAGCTCCCTGTATCTCACTGTGGCCCCACCAGATGCCTCTGGGAGCACACGAGACAACTAGCTACCTGTCTCCTGATCCCCCTCCCTTGCATCTGGCATTTGGATGTCCCTTCCGTCTAAGCCAGGAGATTATATACATTCCTATCATGGCTTTGTAACCTGCGATGGGCTTTTCCTCCAGGAATCTGTCCAATCCTCTTTTGAATGCACCTAGGCCAGATGCCACCCCCACATCCTGTGGCAAGGAGTTCCACAGACTAACAACACGCTGGGGAGTCTTTTTTTGGGGGGGGGTTGAATGCTGCAAAATGTGATCTTGATGAGTCAGCTCTATTTCTTCCACAGGGGTCCGGGATGGGAGGCCCAGAATTACGAGCCAGCCACAGGCCACTCCAGGGGATTCTGGGAGCTGTAGTCCAAAAGGCGGAATCTTCCCGAATGCTTCCCCATCACTCCCGCAAAGAGTCCGGCCGTTCCTGAGGAGAAAAGAAGAAAAGGGCCGCCCCACCTGCAGCGTCACTAGCGCCCGTCCGCGAGCAAAGCTCCCTTCAGGATGCCTTCGTGCAGGCCGCACCGCAGCCGCTCTCTCGATTTAAGTCCCTTCTAACTCCCGCCAAAGCGACTCGCTTTCCCCGCCCTCTGGGCGGAGCTACATCCGGGCATAAAGGGACTCTCTAGGAACACGTCCGACCATCGAGGTATCCGTTGCAAAATGGCGCCCCACACAGCTTTGTGAGGCTTCGACTGTCTCCGGCTAGGAGAACGGTGCCTTTTAAAGTAGCGATAAGAACAGTGGGTTAAAGAAAGAGGGTATAACAAGGGCCATGCCCGTCACCTGCCGTGCTATAACTGGAAATATGTGTCAAACGCAACGGCCTCACGAAGCGCAGGAGAGGCCGTGCGCATGAGTCGAAGTGCAACCTGAGGCCTTTCCTGCTTCCGTCCGGCTTCACGAAGGGTAACATTTGCGCATGCGGATACCTACCGTTGCAGTCAAGGCAAGTTCGTACCGGTAGGCGCGGCTGCCGGAGGATCAGCGTGCGCATGCGTGCGGGTTCCTGCGCGGTCCCCGATACATTCTGTCCAACATGAGAGATTCCCTTTTATCCCGGGCTGTATTTTGTTTTGAATTGCTTTCAGATAACAAAAGCACACACAGCCTCCCGGAAGACAACTGCCCGTACCCTTTTAGACTTGCGTCTTTTGTTGCCTTGGAGGGAAAAAAAAATTCACCAGATTTCTCTTCTAGAAGTTGTAGTCCAAAAATGTGACTTTTCCAGTCGTTGTCAGGGCTTTCTAGATAGAGAAAACTCAGAAGTGGTTTTCCATTCTTTTCTGAATGTGTCCTAGGATTGTGCAGCTTTCTCGGAGCCACACAGGCTGGCTCTTCTCCTTAGAGGCACAGCGGGGAATCGAACTCCCAGCCAGCTTTGGCTATTACTTGTATGAATTCTAGTGATCTACACATAAGTTAAAATTGCTACTTTTAAAAGGATGGTGCACATTTATGCATATTTACCTCTCTCACACACAATTAGTGCTTTTTAAGAGATAGATGATACCTCAGTTTTTACCTGAAGTTTAGAGCCACCCTCTAGTTGTTACTGAAGTGAAACTCCTTGCCAGTGTAGCCAAAGTAAAGTTGGGGGGGGATATAATTACAATTTGCAGTCCAACATCTAGAGAGCCACAAGTCCCCTATCCCTGTTTTACTTAAAAGCTTGTTAATTTGTTCAAAGAAAGAACCAGATATCTTCATAATCAAGTGCATTCTTTTAATTTATTAAAATAGTGTAATCAAATCAGTTAAGCAGCCTAAAACAAGCTTTTGGATTTTTCAAACCTGTCAACCTAGCATTTATTTATTTATTTATTTATGATTTTTCAAACCTGGCAACCTAGCATTTATTTATTTATTTGCCACTTTCCTCTCCCTGGATGACTCAAGGCGGCTTTCAACAGATAAAACAACAAACTTAAAAATACTATGTTGTTGTTACATGCTGTTGCGTTTAACTAACTTACAGCAACCCTGACAGGGTTACCCTTTCAAGGTAAGTGAGATATTTAGGGAGTGGTTTTACCAGTTTTACTCCCCTGGCTGAGTGGGAATTCAAACTCTGTTCTCCAGAGTCCTAGTCCACCACTCTATCCACTACACCACATTGGGAACCACTATATAACACAATATAAATATTTTAAAAGCAATTAAACAGGTTAAAAAATCAGGTTGCTGTCCATATTTGAGTGCTCACTTGATTTGCCTATGTTTTAAACATCTACAGAGCACAGAACAAACAATACAAAATTGACAGATTTCCGCTAGAATAGCTTACAGGTGAAATTGTCTGGGTGCCTATCACGAGACGAGACAGCAGAGGGAGGAGTAGAGCAAACTAATTCAAGGTCAGGGAAAAAAGTTGTTTGGACACGGAAGGAACAGGTGCTTGGGAGTTCACTTCCACTCTTGGTGCTGCTCAAAAAAACTTCAACTAAATCAGTGATTCCCAACCTTGGATAACCCAGGTGTTCTTAGACTGCAATCCCCAGAAACCCCAGCCAGTACAGCTTGTGGTAAAGGCTTCTGGGAATTGTAGTGTAAGAACACCTGGGTTACCCAAGGTTGGGAACACTGCAGTACTGTATATGGTTATAGTTCAGTGTGTGTGCCATGCTGTATCCTTATGTCAGAGGTGATCAATGTTGGAATACAACCCCCATCCTGTTTCCTTCTTGGCTGAGCTTTCTAGAATCAACGGAAGTTGGAGTCCAGCAACATCTGAACATCTAATCTTGCCCTATATTATTCTCTAATCTTGGTTGTTAATTTTTAGATATTTTTACATATTGCCAGATCTTGCAGCCATGGAATTTTGGGAGCAGTAATAATAAAAAAGAGTGATTTCTAAACTGTGTTGGTTATGTAACTCTTTAGTGGTAATGGTAAAATGTTTTTTGTGAACTTGCCTTAAGGTACGATGCTTGTTCTGGGACTGCTTCAAACTCACTTGGTAGGAAAAAGAAGGAGATACATTTTTAGAACAAACTAATAACAGTTGGCCTGTGGTTGTTTCTCTCGAGGTTAGTACGCCTTGGAAGATGGCCTGCCTGGCAATGGTGGTAGTGTGATGATCGTTGTGGCTGCAACAAAGACCACTGCCAAATAATATGGAGCCATCATTTAAATTTCTCTGTGTATTTTCTCAGGCATATTGAGACATTAAAATGCCCTCTCGTGAGCCCAGAAGTGCAATGCAGGGGCCACAAGACAAATGTTGATACAATGGTCGGACTGTGAGATTTCTTCAATGATGGTACAAGCTGTTGTGTCTCCCTTACATACCTGGCTACTGATGGAGTCAGTGAAACAGGAACTAAGGGGCAAACATTACAGCCAACAAATAATTAGAGGAGAGAGTTCCTTAAGTGCAGAACAAAAACAAGGGCAGGTGATACTTGTTGCAGAATTTTGAATTTCTGGTTAAATTCTTCTTTTGCTACACAGTAGAAATGCAGAGATCCATAGAGGAGAGTAGCTTCAAGTTACCCAGTGTCTACCCTATTCTCAATAACTGGCACTTAAAGTCTCAGTAACTCACCCTGAGTCATTTGAAGGAGAAAGAATTAAAAAAAACTTATATACGTACAACTTGCTTGAAATTACAGGCTTGTTTATATTGCTTTCTTTATTGCACACATACCAGTATTAGCAACGAGATGAACAGATCAACAGCAAAAAGAACTGCCACCAACTGCTGAAAGAGAAGAATAAAACACTCATCAGAGAGGCTGGGCTGTGTTTGAATTTCAAAAGTTGAAAGGAACAATTGGTTAGTGCTAGATAGATAATCACCCAGCCCCAAAAAGTATCTCCAAGTCACTCAAACTACAGACAGCATACAAAGTTGTAAAAATTTCAAAAGTTGAAAGGAACAATTGGTTAGTGCTAGATAATCACCCCAGCCCCAAAAAGTACCTCCAAGTCACTCAAACTACAGACATCATACAAAGTTGTAAATCAAGCTCCAATATTTTTATTGGACCTAAAACAACAACAAAAACTAAAATAGCTGTCTTTGAAATAATAGTAGTCATCATTGAGTTCTATACCAATGTATAGAACCCGATGAAGGTTTTTTTTCTGCATTATGAAGGTTTTTTCTGCATTATCCAGTGTGGATAATGCAGGAAAAAACATTAAAGTTCCAAAAATCATGGCAGATATCCGTGCCAGATGTCCACATCAATCAGGGTAAGGTCTCCTCATCTCCCCTCTCCAGGTCATAGGGGTCGGCTCCCTCTGCATAGGGGTCCCAGGGTCCGGTAAATACCTCCTCCAGCGAGCCTCCTCCAGATGCCATGCTTTCCTTTCCCTCTCTACTGCCTCCTTTTCCTCTCTCAACCTTCTCCGCCACTCTCTAGCTTCTGATTCTCCCCAATAGGACAGTTTGGGGGGTAAACCTCTTCGTCATCTGTAATCTGCCTCTTCTCAAGGCACCCTCACTTTCTCACATCTCCCTGTCCAGGGATCCTCCACCCATATCAATTCCCAACCTCCTGGTATGTTGTCTCGCTCCACTTTTATATCTCCGTGTCCTGCCTCTACCAACTGTGGCTCCCTCATCCATCCCTGTCTGGGTAGCCACTGACAGTCTCCTCACACCTTGTTCCAAATCACAGGTGTCTATACCCTGATGTCTGACCGCGACACGAGTAGCTGTAGATTCCGTTTGAGTCTCCTTCACTCTCTTAAAAAAGGATGACACTCTGGCGAGCGCTTCTATAGCCTCGCCTCAGGTCTCACAAGAGGTTGATTTGATCTTGTGATCACCCACATTTATTACTGTGCCCCCCCCCCACATTGCCCAAAGATTCCAAATACACCTTGGGCAGTGGGTCTGAGAGTGTGGCACAGTACTATAAGTCTTTCCTTAGTGCTCAAAGTGAGCATTGCATTGGAAGTGGGGGGAGGTGACATCTAGATAGCTGTTTGTGTCTACATAAAATATCCCCAAAATTCTGTTTGCCAGTAGAGATGTACAAATCTATAAAGTTCAAGCTCATTGAAGATTTCCTATGTCTACTCAAAAGTCATACTCTTTTTTCCTGATAGAATCCCCCTTTGAAACCTGTACATATTTTTGAGCAGAGTTTCCAAATACACACATTTCATGTCCATGCACAAATTGACTGAAGCACTAGTCCCCATACTTGGCCCCAGAAGTTCTTGGAGATCAGCTCCCAGAAACCCAGGCCATTAGCTGTGCTATGTTGTGCTTTCTGGCTCCGGTGAAGAGAAAACATGGATCGAGCAGTGTGGTGTGCCCCTCACATGTCCCCAGATTATTCTGCTAGCCTGAGGCTGATGACACGTTCTCTCCTTTACACTGCCACCAGTTGACCTCTGTCAACACCCTTTAATTAAAAAGACTGAGGTCCATGATGAGTATAAAGTTGAACAGCACAGGTTTCTTGGTTACAGTTTGCTTAAACAGGTTCTTCACAGACTTTAAAATATTCATTAGATTAGTAATAACTTGTTTCCCTCTTAACTCTCTTAGCTCTCTATAATTTCCACACTCTTAACTCCTACAGTAGCTCTGCCACACACTCTAATTCCCACAAACTCTTACTACCCACTCTCCTCTCTGACTCTCCCTGACGGTACCCCTTAGACTCTGACTCACCCCTCCCTTCTAGTTTCTCTGGCTCCACCTCCCAACAGCTTCTATTGGTACATGCAAATAATCTCCTACATGAGCCAGAGCAGGGTGATCGCCACAAGCATAATCTGTGCACATACTGTAGTGTGTGTCTGCATTTATCTGTGTAGGAGGCACTCACAGCACACCCTCTGTACCTGTGTGTTCTACTGCCGAAACAA